CCTTTTCGATCGCCTTCCTTTTGAACTAACAGTCATCGCCTTTAGAGCCTCTCGTCCCCGTACCGGTGACGTCAACCGCCTGCGTCCGCGCGGACGGTCGACGCCCCCGCCAAGGGGAGAAAGCTTAGATTTCGTCATCCTCCCCCTACGCACCCATTTTTGAGAGAGAAGCGTTGCGACGATTGTTGTATGGATTCGGTGTTGGTTCGGATGACAGGGAACGCGGGATCTTGCCCGTGTTCATCACGTAACTCCGATCGTCTCATTTCGCTACCGACCTTCCCCATCACAGATGACGACAACGTCAACTGCGATGCGGACGTACGGCGTGCGCTGAGGCGGACGGAGCAAGTGTGTTCGCAAGACCCGCCTCGGGCTTGTGAGATAAGGGGGAACGGGTTTGTGTTGATTGATCGCTTTGATTCCCTGACTCTAATATGATTGCCTTATACAGGTTTAACTGTGTTGCCTTGGTCGGCCGCTCACGCCGCATGGCGACCGCAGTTTGATTGTCGCTGGTGTCTCGTGTTCGTGGCGACGACTGGTCTTGGGTTACGAGGGAGCGACACGTTTCCCCGAGCTTTCCGGTAGTGCGGGGGCGATGCCCGCGCAATTTCGAATTCAGATGCCGGCGAGTCCTCCCGCCGCTTTACCCTCCCGGAAACTTTCGCACGGGCTCTATGAGTCTGACGCCAAGGCTTGAAGGCCTCGAACCAACTACCTCTACAGCGAAAGACCCGAGGGTTCGGCCACTTCGTGAGGCCGATGACGTGGCCTGAAGGCTTCGAACCCACCACCTATCCCCGGAACCCATGACGGTCAGAGTTTTTGCCGTCTGCCGCCATGGCGTCCTCCCCTTGATGCCTATTCCCGTCCCGATGCACGACGACAATTCATTTTCACAGAAACCCTTCTGATTTGATCGTTTCAGAGTAATCCGACCCCCGTGGGACTTCGCGACGACAGTTCGACTCCGAGAAAAACCTCGGCCAAGAAACGAGAGCCTCCCGTTCCGTCCGGGAGACTCAACCCTTACGGCCAAAAATCCTCGGCCACGCCCCTCCTAGAACTCTGATCGGCGACCCCGTACGGGAAGCAGCGAGGGGGCGTGAGGTGCGTATCACAAGCCTGTTGTGGCTCCAGACTCACCGAGCGATACCCACGACTAAACGACTTTCTAAGAACGGAATGGGAGTAGAGACTCAGTGTTGTAGATGCAAGAAGAAGGAGGAGTCTGCAACCCACTTATGGTGGGAATGCATCGAATCCAAAAGAATCTGGCTGTGGTGGGAGAGGCTTTGGAACAGACATTTGGAGGTAGAGGTTAAGTGGGATGAGAGGCTGGTCATTGAGGGGATAATGGTAAATTCCAAAGAACTGGGTAAGGGGTGGAGTTATGTAGTCTGTTCCTGTAGGGAGGCTTTAATGTTTACTATCTGAACCCTAAGGAACGACAGACTCTTCAGAAACAAGTTTTATTCAGACATTGCTATCATGGATATGGTTCTCTCCAATATCAAAAGGTTGATTTGGACTGATTGGAGGCGCATGAACAGAGCTGCTCAAAAAAGGAATGCGAGAGCTGAGTTCTTCAGGTCATGGGGAGTCAGTGTCAAACTGTTAAAGACGAAAGCAAGTGGGATCATAATTGAACCGTGGTTGATGGGCCCCCACCCACCTTGAACTGAGTAGCCCCCTTGTCAGTTGCTCAGCTCCTTGGTCCCGACTCTCTCTGTGATTCTGTTTTAACTTGTTTGAACCTGATTGGATTTGGCCCAGGAGGTCACTAAAGGCTGGGACATTATAAGTATACTTGGCGCCCTGGAAACGGGGTGAAGAGGCCCATAGGTAGTGCCTCTTGATAGTATTTTGTTTCGGAATTAGATCCCAACAAGAATGGAACTACCTGAGTGTTTAAAGTTGGGACGCTGGACCCGGTTTCCAGCAGATAGATTGAGATAAATAGAGCAGTTAGTTTTGATTACTGAGCTGGGCTCGGAAGTGAAACTGGTTGAGGCTGCCAGGATAACTCCGGGTTGAATTGTGAGGTCCCCGGCCTCGTCCCAAAAGTTATAATGACTTTGAGCACTAAAAAAAAAAAAAAAAAAAAAAAAAAAAACCTAGGAAATCCGGACATATCCTTTTCTTGTCTTTTTTTTTTTTTTTTTTTAACCAACCTGTGGTGATGCTAGGGGTGCTGATACGACTAGACATCACTCGCACTCCCGGGGAGGCTCCATCTATTGGTGGGGAGCAGCACCCGCTGGAAAGAGGGTCCAGCCTCCCTGAACATTGAAGTTGTTTGCTTGAGTAGATACCTGATTGTAATGGCCTGTAACTGCAGGGCCCACCTACAGAGCAACAAAGCTAGCAGGTAGAATTACACAGCTGACTAAGTTGATTGCCTACATAAAAGCAAGAGATAAGTCACCCCATATTCCTAGTCCGTCCACTATGGTCCATCACTTGGGGGCTACCCATCTCACCGAATTACGAACCCCACGGTGAGCTGCACCTGCTGGACAACAGGTCTAGCGTCCGAGGAACATACAAATTGAGGAGAAACCTAAGCGTGAGAAAGAAGGAGCTTGGGCAGCATTGATTGCCCTGTTGCCAGGCAATTGACAACCCAACCCATAATTCGTGGGGAGCAACACGCGCTGGGAACCGGGCCCAGCGTCCCATGTAGGATATACAAATGATTTGAAATACCAGGGCCATTACCTGGCTTCGGCTAAGAACAATCTAAAAACTATGAAAAAAGTTCAGGAAGATTTCAGAAAAACATGGCTAATTGTTGACCTATTGCTAGGCTACTCAAGCAGCAGTTACCACAAAAGTCCTTCGAATGCTCAGAACCCCTGGACTCCCCGACAAAACACTCTAAAATTCTCTAACACTGTCTAATTCCCTGCCGAGTTCTCCCAGGCCTCATGCCCCCACCCTGCTAGGTTACAGGGCAACACGACTCACCCCAGCTCCGGCCAGCATCGTCCCGACAGCAACCCTTGGTTTTCCCTTGGAATGCCCGGCCCAAGGATCCCCAGATCTCTCTACCAGGCCTCACGTTGTCAGGACAAATACCCTGACAAGGGTATTTGCCTGGGATTTTAAACATCAGACGTTGTCCGACTCTTTCATTGAGTTGAAGGACTTGATGAGACCGGCGGTTGCCAAGAGTTTATTCAGACCTGACCTATGGCCGAGGAACTAAAACTTTTAGAACCCTAGTCCGGACGCCTGCGACATCTGAGAGTAACGAATGTGAATGGCAATGCTTCACTTTTTTTCAAAGGCGCAGAAGCGTGCGGACATGGGAATGTTAAAGCTATACCTATTTTACCTAAAATAATGTCCCGTGTCTTAGCAACCGCGCGATTCAAGGCCCAAGTAGGCTAAAAAGAGGGATGCGCTGGGTATAGCGCCGCGGCGCAGGGGAAATAGGAAGAAGGGTTTTTATTTCCTGGGCCGCGGGGGTTGACATCGAGCCAGGGGGTTAACAGGCCAATGCCGAGGTCATGCGGCCAACCGACGGGGCAGGGCCTGCCAGCAAAGCCTATTAGGCTTCAGGCAGGCAGAATCTGCATAGCCTCAAGCAGGTAGGGCCTACAAGGCCACAGGCAGGAGGAATGGTCTGGGCCAAACTCTTCTTATAAAAGAGCTGCTCCTATCACTGTTGTGATAGGAGCTAGCCCAGTAGGTTACGGTGGCAGATTTTCGCCCAACAGATACCGGAATCAAGCTCGGTCGCACACATCCTACTGGACAGCTCCTTTTGGAGCAGCCCAAGCAGTTGGGCACGACCGATTTCGACCGCGCGATCATCAAGATCGTGCGACTGAGATCTGCTGCGTGAAGATCAGTATGGCCCCTGCGCTTGACCTAAACGTTCTCTTTAAATCCTTAAGGATTCGAACTCGATCTGTATTTCAAAAGTTGGCGAGGGGGGGATCCGTGATGTAATCGTTGGCCGATGCCAACGGGATTTAAAAAAAAAAAAACTAAAACTGATGTGAAAGAACTGCGCCACTTGACACCCTTAGAAGTACCTGGGGCGCTTCAGCCCCAGTGAATGTGATAGCGCCCGTGAAAACGGGCGACTGTTTGGCATTCAGGTAAGTTTGCTGTTGTTGTTGTTGTTTTGCTTCTTTTCTTCTTTTAGATTTTCTTTAAGTTTTTCTTCTTTTAGATTTATTTTAGATTTTCTACAATTTTTTTTCCTTTTTTTTTAGATCCTTTAGATCTTGTTTTCTCTCGTTCGTGACTTCACTAAGGCGCCCGTTCGTTTTAGACGAACGGGCCGCTACTGTCTATAGGGAAGCAAAGTCGAATGAATCTACTACTAGAACCTGGAAATATGCCCACCCGTATCACTATTTTTATTACCACTACTACTACTACTAAGAGAAGGGGGGGAACCTACCTGGTGGCGAATCGGTGAGACGGCGTAGAACGCAACAGCCAATAAGTCAGTCCCCAACTGTATACCCTATGCCTGTTCACTTCGTGAATAGGCTATAAAACGTCGCCTGTACCTCGTGCTGTGGGCGCCTAGGTACGGGCGCGTGAGGCAGGGGGTAGGAGCCATTGTTGAGTCTGACTCTAGTTTGCCCCTGTGAAATGACTGAGGAGGGGAGTGTGCCTGTTCGTTTCAAATGACTGGCTGCCCCTCCCAGGGAAAACGGGGGGTAAAAAAAAAGAAAAAGAAAGAAAGAGAAGAGAAAAAGAGGAAGGGAAAAAAATAACGACCACATATGTGGCTGGGGGCGCGGAACAGGTGCAGCCCCAGAAAGTTCTAGGGGCTGATGGGACTGCGCATGTTCGTTTTCAAGTTGAATAGACAACAGTAAAATGGTTGGGTACAACCATTTCCATGAGCACCTGGCCTGGGAAAACGGCCAGGTACCTCTGGGGATTGAAGACCTTGGTTCTCCTAGGGTGAAACCAAGGCATTGAGCTCCTGGCCATCGATTTAGATTGAGGGCCAAGGGCACCCACGGATTTTGCCTGGCTGTGGGCAAAGCAGCTGCCCACATGCCTTCGACTGGCTATAAAAGTCAGCACTCCACCCAGCACCCTCACACTTACGGCAGTGTTGTTGGGACATTCACTTGGGTGAATGCTGGCTGGCTGCTGCATGCTGCTGGAGAGGAGATGCTGCTGGTGGAGTGAAGGTCTGCAGAGAGTTGGAGGAGGAGAAGGGAGGCAGCCATAGTTGAGGGTTGGGAGTCTTTTGCCCCACCCTTGTGCATGCGTTGTGTGTGTGGGTAGGTGCTGCGACCGTGAGGCTGCAACAGTGGCACTTCGGTGGGGAGGTGCTAACAATTGTTTTGGCACATCGACAACGACACTTTGGTGGTGAGGTGTTGCTAGATTGACGGTGTGGCAGCATCAAGGTCTCCTTAAGAGAAGGTGCTGTCCGTTTGGCGGCACGACAACAGTGATATTTTTTTTGTGAGGTTACGTTGGCAAACTTTTGGCACAACATCGACACTTCGGTGGGAAACTGGTGCAG